AGCCGCCTTGAGCCTTACAAGGCGCAACAACTTTTAACCTTGTAAGGCTCAGCCGCCTTGAGCCTTACAAGGCGCAACAACTTTTAACCTTGTAAGGCTCAGCCGCCTTGAGCCTTACAAGGCGCAACAACTTTTAACCTTGTAAGGCTCAGCCGCCTTGAGCCTTACAAGGCGCAAGGTTGTCAGCGTCTTGCAGGTGATTTATAAAAATAAAAAAAAATTGGTTTCTCCCTCAGATCTGCAATTAATATATATTTAGTTGTTCATCAATATTAGATCCCCAACTTATAAACCAATATCAACATGTTTCCTTTTTTTGTTTTTGGACAATGGTGGTCTCCCCCGCCGGCTTGCAGACTATTCCTCCTCCAATGTTTTTCCGATATAACAATAAGTTTTTTTCTTATTTTAAAACCATCATTGAAAAGATCACTATCTATTGAAGTGCAACTTTTTTCTTAGTGCACATTAAAGCTCCAATGGTTGCCACATTTCCAATTTCTCATTACAATTTTTTCCTCAAACAACACATTAATAACAATATTATTAGCTATAACATGAAATTCGTCACTAATTATTTACTTTTAGTGACAAAAATTATATTTAGCGTCAGATCTATATTGGACACAATAATAATAACTACAAGGAATGGCTCAACTATTAGTTTTCAATTCAAATGTATCTCTCTTACCCAAAACATGACTTACGTCTAATTTCCAGACTCAAATATTAGTTTTGAATTCAATGATGGTTTTAAAATAAGAAAAAAACTTATTGTTATATCGGAAAAACATTGGAGGTGGAATAGTCTGCAAGTTGGCGGGGGACACCACCATTGTCCAAAAACGAAAAAAAAGGAATCATGTTGATATTGGTTTATAAGTTGGGGATCTAATATTGATGGACAACTAAATATATATTAATTGCAGATCTGAGGGAGAAACCAATTTTTTTTTTATTATTATTTTTTATAAATCACTTGCAAGGCGCTGACAGCCTTGAGCCTTGTAGGGCTCAAGGCGGCTGAGCCTTACAAGGCTAAAAGTTGTTGTGCCTTGCAAAGCTCATGGGTTTTCGCGCCTTGCGGCGGAAATTTTAATTTTAACAGCGTTAAAATTTGTTTCCCTTTTGATTTGATAAATAATTTAGTTGCCCTTTTGGAATTTTCGAAAAAATTTATTGCCCTTTTGATTCCAGACTCGTGTAATGACAGTCTAGAATACTATATCTTTTCATTAATATTATAGTGCAACCTGAAGCAGATCTAACAAAGAAAAGTTTGAATATTTAGGCATAATTGACATGCTCAAGAAGGCTTTACACACTACTGACAAAAATATCTTTTAACGACAATAAATATGCATATCAATAAAGAGTGTTAAAGCTTTTATCAACATTAGCTAGTTGTTATTAAATTAAATGTTGTTATACACTTTAGGGACATTTACAAGGAGTGTTAATTATGTCTAAAAAATAAATTTAACGGCAATTAAACTATTATTGTTAATTAATTACCGTTAAAGATTATTTTTGGTATAATATCTTCATAGTAGTCACAGCCAAAGGCGGGGCCAAGATCAAAAGTTTAGGAATTTCAAATTTAGGACAAAAAAGGAAAATATTGTAAAACATGCTTCCTTTAAAAAAAAAGGAATATTTTGTTGATAGTGAGATTCAAATCTACAACATTAGTGTGGAAAGCATTTCCATGACTTCTTTCTTGCCACTGAGTCATCAATCAATATTGTTAGGGATTCACAAGTTAACATACATATATATTTATTCAATTTTTTAGTACAAATACAAGATCTACGAAAAAGCGATTGAATTCGACTGAATCCATGAACCCCACCTAGCTCCACCCGTGATCACAGCCTATTCAGCAGTTGACATGTTCTCCTTATCTAGTGATTAATTGGCCACAAAAGAAAAAAATAAAATTGGACCACTTTCACCTGCATGTGATTCAGCCAAGAGCCTAACACACCACCCCTATTAATATACCTTGGCACAAACGCATATTTTTGAACTTATCTCATGACTTCCTTATATGGTTAACAACACTTGGATCTCCTAGACTCTACAAACAAAAACGTGAGTTATAAGTTGTCCAACATTTTGTGGCCCAAATACCTCAAGACCCCGGGGTATTGGTGAGTCATGGGTCAGACATGTGAAAATCGTAGTTCATGACCTAAAAAGTTCATGTACTAAAGTTCCCAAGCATAGATGACAGAGCACGCTCACAAACATGTAACCAATCATAAAGAAGGGTATTGTGCTTTCCCATTACATGAGTTTGTTCAGTGTACATGCTAGTATATATTTTCGAGCATTATATAAGTAGAATATGTATACACTCCTATAATCGATATTGATGACAGCAACAATATTTTATTATTTTTTCAATAAATAAGAAGCCAATACTATAGACATATATTAGTTAGTACAGTAAAGTACGTACTATTTTGTTACAAGACAATTAAACAAGGCTGGTCAGGCATAGCAAATTATTATGTGGTACAAAAAAAATAGAGAGAACATGCAAAATCAGGGCAGCCCACCTGCTGGGAGGAGGAAAAGATATTCTCCACATATGAGCAGGAAAATATATTGTCTAGGTTTCCGTGCCCACCTGTGTCCTTCCTACGTACAATCACTACTAAAAATAACGAAAGATCGATCCTGTCTGTCGAAAAAAAATCTTACCTTATCAACTTAAATATGCCTTCCCTGCGACAACTTATTTCCATTATGCCAGAACTTTGAGGCAAAAACTTGCTGCCCATTGCTATGAATCATCAAGACCAAGTACATTTTAATTTAAATGATGTAGTACTACGTATTGACCCACCTAATTAGTAATAAGGTGATAGAATACGTATTTGACACGCATCACCATTTTTTCAATTTTAATTCGAGCCGCCTAACTATCAACAAATGTCAATATGGTCGGTCGCCCCCTAGCCAATGGCCCAACTGAATACAACTTAGGTGGTACCCGCTATGTTACTACTCATTTATTTTTATAACTTGCCCAAATGATTGGACGCAATTAAAGATTGAATCACTGATTTTTATATAATCACTCAGGTTTATGATAGAGAGGTAAGTATTTTTTTTATTGTTAATTAAAAATCTTGAATTCGAATTCTCTTAGGTAAAAAGTCACTTTTTATTAAAAAAAAACGTTTTACCATCTAATGTAGAACGTCATGAAAAAAAATTGATAAATTATCCCAGCAATCCAATCATCAAATAAATTTCAGATTCAAGAAGAAAAGAAGAACAAGTATGCTATCGAGGTTTGTGGATAATTTGAGAAATAATTTGTAGAAATTACTATAAATAAGTTGAGACGAAAGGAAATACTTACTATTTTAAAAGTTCAAGGCAATTAAATGAACTAGTCAAACATCTTTCTTAATTAATATTTCTTTAAGAAGCATATAAATAAGAAAAATATGATATATATTTTGAAATGGAGAAAGTAATAAAAAGATTCTATGACAAAGTATAAAGAGTTTGAACAGGCAATAGCAAACCATATAGTAGTAGTAATTAGTTGTGTGAATTAAGTAACAGTTTTAGGGGGCTATTGTGCCTTCAAATTTTCCATATGATAATCCAAAAGCATGACAAATTATTCCATTTAATTTCAAATCAATACAAAATCGATTCTACATTTAATTTATCTTATTATATATTAAACTTAATCTTACTTTTTAAAAATAAAAAAATGAAGAAAGATGTTATTGCCTTTTTGTTAATTACACTGTTTGCATGTGCACCTTTGTCCCCATTACAATCAAACTTTGTCTTCAACTAACAGCTCTAGGAGATAATTTGTGTTTTTTAATACAAAATCTAGTGATTGGAAATTGGAATGTTTAGGCATATACCAATTCTGGTCCTACAACCATGTGCTACAAGAGAATGTGTTTTCACTATTGCAGGTTTTTATTTTTATCACTAATTGAGATTAGTGATGACGGAGCCAAAAATAAATTTCAAATATTATAGGTCGAGAAATACATCAATATACCTATTTGTACTCACAATCTTATAAAAAAGGATCATATTTTTTGTTTGTTTACAATTAAAGTATATTTTTATACTTGAGAAAATTTATTGCAATTATATATGTTTCAAGTCTTAATTAGTGATTTTGAGTTTCGAATACGGAGAACATAGAAACTCTTATTAGAAGAAAGTATTTTCTCCCCTTAAATGAATTATAGATAACGTGAATTTGAATTAATCAGCAAATACTGAATACATGGTTATAGGAAAACAGAAAATTAAACGAGCAAACTTTCTCTAAACTTTCTCCAAATTGTTTGAGAAGTGGAGTTTAATTTATTCAAACAAAAATCCTTAATTTTTTTATTCATTATTCTTTTTAAAGTAAAATAAGATTTTATTTTTTTTACTGAGTTCATGAATTGATTATTCTCATTGTCTGAACTTGTCCACTTGGTCCAACTAATAATTCAGAGAAGTTCACAATTCATTCGTCATTGTTTATCTTGATTATTAATTAATTAATTAATTTGAACACTCAATTATCCACTCATATATTATAACAAAAACAAAGGTGAGTACTGGTTTTAGTCAATTTTGAGCAGGTCATCTGTTTTTCTTTTATTTATTAATAATCTTTTTAATTTTTTTGGTCAACCAAACAAAGACACCAAGAGGTGATCGAACTCTTCTTGACATTCAACAAGATTCACAAAATCCTTTCACAAAGATAACATAAATCTTAAGGAAGTCCAAATCATCCTAATTCGAAAAATACACTATTAAAGACCTTCGAATGACAGAAAATATTTAGAAAGAACAATCAAGAAAAAAAATAGATTTATACTCACAATCCTCATGAATAATTTTATTTTTTTGTAATTGCAATATATTTTCCATATTTGAGAAAATGTTGCAAACAATAATTTTTTAGGTTGGGAATTACTTCTTGGAAAAAGCAATAAAAATAAAAATAAAAAACAATGAAAGAAATATTTTTGGAATTTAATTGATTCTCATAAACAAGAATTTTCGACGGGTATAAACATTCAACACCACAGACGAAAACAATAAGAGTGCATGAAAACCAATATACAAAATTTCTAGTATTCACAATTATTTTATTTTTTTTAGCAAATCCACTTTGATTTGCTAGATCTCCTCTCCCCTTCTTGAATTCCGTGCATAGCGAGATATTTAGTGCACCGACTGATCGATCAAAAGTTAGAAATAAGAGAGCAGAAATCATGTTCATGACAAGGAATAGTAATTCCCAAATCATGATTAAATCCAAACTCTTCTTCAGCCCTTTGAAGCAAACTTTGAAATTCAGGATGAGTCAACCAAGAAATTGGAATAATATATCTACTCCTATTTTCTCCCACATATACCACAAAATGTCCTTTTGGGACATCATTTGGTAGCCCATTTTCATTTTTTCCAAAGCTAGAACATTTTTTCAAGATTTGTTTAAGAGTTGCTGTTTGAGTTGCTTTCTTTAGAGCCATAGTAGAATAGTTTAATTTATGTGTTGGCAAAGAATTAGAAAGATAGAGGTGTATTTATTGGAAGAACAAAGGCATGTGGGCTATGGATGTTTTGTGTGGGTGGTAACTTGAAATAGACCACTCACCCCTCTTCTAGCCTCAAAAGTCCAACTTTAATATTTTTATTTTTATTTTTATTTTATGCGTATTAAATTACATTATTGAATCATATGCTAAACTTTTATTATATATTTAAAAGAAATGAAAATTAGATTATTAGCTTATGTGGTTTTGACCATATACTTTTATATAAGTTCTTGTAATACAAATAAGATTTTCATGGCACAAATGGAGTAGTTAATATTGACTAATATGCATGTAATCTCTTGAAGGTAGGGGGGGGGGGGGAGG